TGGGTTCGTAATTGAGAAGCTCCGTCGCCAGTCGCACGCGACCTTCATCGTAGGCTGCCCGTGCGATCTCTTCGAATGAGACACCAGGCTTGCCATGCAGTTTCTTGACTATAAGACTGCAAATCTCCTCTTCTGGTTCCGTCGAGACGCGCACCTTCTGTTGCGCCCAGTGTCCGTGAATCTGGTTTGCTGGCAGATGCAGATACTCGGCTATGCGCAATGCAAGAAGGTATTCGCTGCGGTTCGTGAGACGCTCAACGAGCTTCTCGGGCGTCATGCGGCGATACTGGTCGTAACTGAGCGGCAGGCCAACCTCATAGAAGCGCACGGCGTTCAGAACTCGAAGTGTGTCGCACGTGTCGACAAAGTCGTCGGACGAGTACAGGTCCAGTACCGACTTTCCGTACGAAGCCGCTTTCAGCAGCGACTTCTGCCAGTGGATGTTGTACTCGTGCGCAGCGGCCTTGATGCATGTGTCCACTGCCTCTCCCAGACTCGGTCGTATCAGCTGTATGAGGTCGTCGGCCTTGGGGCTCTTCTGTTCTAGGAGCGAAGACGCTTCCAACAGATTTGCAGCAGGCGAGTCGGAGCCCAGCCTGAAGACATCCACCGCCTCGTCCGGCACCTTTTGTATGAATTCGCAGACGTCGTTCGTGAGGAGCCGTATGCCATCAACGTCCGGCAAGAGATGCACCCAGGTGTCGTAGTAGAACTTGGTCGCGGCACTTCGTGGGCCGATAAGGTGTACTTCGTCTTCCCAGGCTAACGCGACGGCGTTCGAGCCGCACCATTCCATGTCTTTCGGCACAGTCTTGATCTTGCTGTCGTACTCGCTGAGCTTGTCGTTCCAATCGCCGCTGACAACCCACACCTTTCCATCCTCTGTGTAGAAGGCCAGGAATTCTGCGCGCGGACTGACGCTGATGTGCCTGAACGGTCCGGCATCGAAGTTGCGATCTTCCGCCTCAGTCGCGTCGACGACATACAGCGTAGACCCAATCGCTAGTATGACTTCCACCGACCGCGAGAGCGAATAGGCAGGCGGTATGATGCTCCATGATATGACGGGCTCGGTCGGCGGTATAGCGAGGAGTTTGGGGCGCGGTTCGGCGTACGAGGTGACAGAGATGAGATGGTTGTTCCCGAGAAGCGCCACAAAGCCGGTGTTGTAGAATTTGCAGGATAACACACCGTATTCGTCTGCGCCGTGGCCGAGGGTGAAGGGCACGAAGTCGCCTTGGAGGTCGTAGTAGCAGCGCACCGTTCCGTCCGAGGTGATGACTAGCAGCTTCTCGTCTTCCGACCATCCCAGGCCCTTGATTGTGCCTTTGTCCCACTATCGCCTGTCAGTATTCCGTCCTTCATCTCCCGACACGTAGAGGAATGCATACGTTGATGCTGCGTATCAGCTTGCCCGCGCAGCTGTAGATGTCGATGCTCGATTTGGACGCGCCAGGACCACGGTAGGTATGCAGCTTCTCTTCATCGCGGTAGACAGCTGCAGAAATCAGTCACCTGGTCACATGTTCGCGCAGTCGTCGGCAGACGGTGGGACGTACCTACCTACAGCACCGCTATACGGCGCCCCCACCACATTGTAGTTCTCGAGCTCGAGGTCCGCGTCGAAGACAGCCTGGTAGAGCTGCACCTTCCTGTAGAACTTGTCGCCGACCTTTTCCCAGTTGGCTGTTGGCTTGGACATGGTTGGGCGCGACTATCGGGGTATCATCGCGCGAACTTGTCGGAGGCTTGGGGTGCCTGCATGGAGCTTCGAGTTGAGGTCATAGCTCTGCCGCCGAGGCTGTCGCGCCTGCGAAGGTTGCCTTTGGATAGGGCGCCCAAAAACCAAATTTAGCCAACATATGCTTCGTTTCCTAATTGTGTGATTTTAAGCATGATATGGCAAGGTATACTTCAGCGTCTGTTGTTATGTCATTTTCGACTCATGTCAACTCTCCGCAGAACTCGTCGAGACTCATGGGATATCTTTCATTTCTTGGTAACTATATACTGGTATACTAATCTTGGGTACTGCCAAATCCAACTTGAAGAAAACGCCGTCGCTCATGCATTCGTAACCAATCTGTGCGCCTCGAAGTCCAATATCCTCCCAACCAAGTCGCATAATCAACATCAGAGCATATCTGCTCAATGACCTCCGATGAGCTCAGCCAGTGTCTCGCGGATACCGAAGCGATCGACATCGCTGCCGACCTTCTTGCGGAACATGCCCAGGTCCTGGAGGAAGGCCTCTGCCTCGTTGTGCAGCTCCTGCGCCAACTCATCGTGGTCGCCCTCATCGTAGCCTGAGTCAGAGTCATCATCGCTGGCCTCGTCACCAGGAGCAGGGACAGATCCTTCTTTACCCTCGCCCTCGCCAAGCCACGATTCGTTCTCAAAGTCTGGCGTTCCAAGCTCCCGTGGCGGTGGCAGGACGATAGGGTTCTTAAGCTCTCCTAGAGCGAGCTGGAGATGGCGACGCAATGAGTCGATCTCTGCGCGTAGAGCTACGTTTGTGGGACGAAGCTCCTCAACTTCCGAGGTAAGTGCCTTGATCTTCGCCGCAGAGACTTGACGGTTCTCCTCCATGAGGCGCTGCATGAGTGCGACCTGCCTCTGGTACTCATCCAGCTCGGTGGCTTCCTCCCTCTTACGCTGGCTGGCGGCGTTGACACAGACTTGTAGACTGCGGATCTGTTCTGACATCTCTGCGATCTGTGCGTCTCGCTGTGCAGCCGACATGCAGTCCTGGTTGACCAAGGCACGTGTGCGGATGCGCTTTGCCTGGTCGGCGTAGCGGAGGGTGGAAAGAGTCTCATCATAGTCGGCCGGCGCAATGCAAGCAACCATCGCTGTCTTGCTGTTACCACCCAGCGAGTCCTTTAACAGCCAGGTCAAAACCGAATCACGGTACGGCACAACCTCCCGTGGTCGTCGTCCCTTCGCACCGTGTCGTCTTGGGTCTGCCAGTGCAGCAATGACGCGACCAAGTGTAGTAAGAGACTTGTTGATTTGTCCTCCCTCCTTCAAGCGAGCTCCCGTAGCTTCTGTCGACTTGGCGCGCTCGGAGCCAGCGAGATCGACGAGACGCATGCGCGCGGTGCGTTCGATGGTCTCATCGGAGAGAAGCGAATGGGTGATTTGCTTGAGGCGGATCGTGAAGACGGCGTGGGATCGTGATGAGGTGTCGTTCATCTTGGTTGAGGCAGTCGTTCGGCTCTACGCTTTCGTTAGTATGTCGTCTGAAGGGGTATGGGCGGTATGCCTACCATGTCGCCAATCTTCATCAAGCGCGCAACATCAGCGTAGCTCTTGACTTCAGCCTCCGTCAGACCCTGCACATATACACCATCCTTCTGGCTCTCGCGAATCTTGAGGTAGATGGGCGGGGTCGTCCTCGGGGTGAGCAGATCCCGCACGTGCTCGTTGTAGACTTCGAAGTAAGAGACTTGGACGTGGTAGTTGGTGTTGGGCGACGGTTCGTGTGCGATGCGATCGAACAGCTCCTCGCAAGTTCGCGGGATCAAGCCTGGGTTGTCTGGTGTGCCCATCATAGTGTAACTCTTTCCCGATCCCGTCTGGCCGTATGCGAAAATACATGTGTGGTATCCTCCGAAGTTGTGGTCGAGGAACTCCTCACCGAAAGAGCGGTAGACGTCTTCTTGGTGGGCGTAGTGCGGGTCGGATTCGTCGTGCGACCAGTATGAGCGATCGAATGTGAATTCCTTGTCGTCCAGAACACGGCGTCCGCTGTTCCCACTCTCTTCTGGCGCATAGAGTGTGGTCTTTTGCGTCGCTGGGTCCATGCGAATTAGGCATTTTGTGCCCTTCTCTTTCTCTATAACCTTTGTCAGTCTCTAAAAACATCAATCGGGTACTATGATCCTACCTCTCGGCACAAAGGCCCTACATCGCACTACCACCTTGACATTGCCGGGGTCGTCGTTCATGGGCGCGGGTGATGAGAGCGCCTGAAGATACGATGCGTCGGATGCGCGCATGGAAGGCGCAGAGGCGGTTGTGTGTAGAGGATACATTCTGTAGTCCAAGATACCGTCTAGTATGAGGTAGCAAGAGTCCAAGAGCTGTTGCAACCGGTGAATGTACAGCAGGTGCATAGGCGGTGTTGAGGTGGAGCACGGATCGCTCTGCCCATGACTCGTCGGCCATTGTTTGGGCCGTGTCAACACGCGGTTGCCGTGTGCGATCGATAACACGTCACCGCCAAGCACCCCACCGACGCGCTCGCCATCCCAGCGCGACGCGACCAGACTGAAGGGGCTGTCTAATAGCTTCCGCGATCTGCTGGGGAGATACTGTGTGGTCGGATCAGCTTGGATCTGTCTCCAGGTACACACTGACGAGTACCCACAGCAGCCCTCGTCTCCCAACACGACGCGACAGGACGACCTGGCCAAAAGCAAGAGCTAGCTGACCTGTCCATGGCATCAATAGACGGTGAAGCTGTCTAGACGCATGCAGTGCTGCTCTGGCATGAGCAACCGGTGAAGGATCAAGGACTCTCAGTCGGATACCTTGCAGTCACCAATGACGGCTTTCGTCCCAGCGCCTTCCACTCAACATGCTTCAATTCAAGTCGCGTTCTCTCGTCGACACGAGACATTAATCTATTGCCCATTGCAATCTTACACGGCTTCTTGTTCGTTTCGTTACGTTGTTGGACTTATGTTGTCAGTATCGCAGTTTCGGCCGGCGGTGCATCGCAGTAGCGACTAAATTTTCCATCTGAGGCGGGCGCAAAATGTGACTGGCGTCGACCCTGCGACGTGAACTCTAACAGTGCAATTAGCAGAACTCCGCTCGACCTAAAATTCACACGCGCGCGACTTGCTTACCTCTACTCATTTAATGAGAACAGGCATCCAGCGGTCAACTTTAAGGTCAGAATACCTGCAACGGCCTGTCGACACCTCGCTTGAGAAGCGCACTACCGTCAAGGCCTATCACGCCCGCGCAAGAGTTACTTGCCGTCGCCAGACATGGCCACCGCTGCAGTACTAAGTCTCTTGGACGAACATACCCGACAAGTAGCGTTTGATGGTAGCCTGGCGAGATTAAGAGCTGCACCGGGAATCGACAGCGGCGCGCTCGATATCTGCGTGCGACTGTTGCCCAGCGGAAGCGCCCATGTAGAAGGTGGAAGTACTTCGCAGCATGAGGAACTATGGAATACCGTGTTGGACCGTCTAGTCGACCAAAGGTCACCGGAGAGCCTCTACGAGATTGCTGAGATATGCTACACCCACGACTCGCATGCCGCATCTCTTCTCAATTCCAAAATCAAGCAAAGCCTTTCCACCCTAGCCACGGATCTATCGGCTGAACAAGCAAATGGGGACAACATCGAAACTGCAAGAGCCTATCTCGAATTCCTGAAATGCTCCTTTTGGGTACCGGCCGCGTCTTCGTACATGGTTGACTCGCAATCTCTCACTCTGCTTTCGAGCTTCGTCGGCATCGAAGGGTTAGATGATACTGCACACGATACTTTGTCCGCTTTATGTTCACTGTTGAAGAGCAAGAGAGAGAACTCGCCCACCAATCTCGATGAAGTCATTGATCAATCAATATGGAACCGATTCAATGCACTCGACATGGCAAGGTTTGCTGCTCGGTCTAGCAAGATATACAGGACCTGGTTCCAATGGATATCGCTCGCCGCTTCCGCTGGGCTCAAATTCGCATGTGTGAGCAACGAAAAATACTGGAGAAAGCTCAGGTTAGGTCTTGTCAAAGGCCATGCGGATCAACGCAAATACTGCCTCGGTATCATCCGCCAGTCTTTTCTTGCTACTTCTGACCATGTCGATACACCTACGATGCGATACGATGCCAGTGGCAAAGACCGGGAGCGGTATGATCTATATACGACCCTATTCGAGACCATCGTGCTTCATCGGTATTCTGGCCAGGTCGAGGACTGCCTGAAATCCATGACGACGCTTCTTGGCTCTTCTTCAGCAACCAATCCTTCCCGGATTACTCCCGCGATGACGACAACTCTACTCACCGCAGCCTTGAACCCGCTGATACAGGAGAGCGTTAGGAAGATGATCGGCCGCTGGTATATGGACTTTGTTGTCGAAGTAAGTCACATGTCTTCCATCCTCGTAGACGACATCGTTTTTATCGTTATTGTACTATCTACGCAACAAAACAATAGTTTAGAGCGAAAGCCATGGCCTGCTAGAGACTGAGTATACCGATGCTAACTTTGACATCGCAGCGCCGGGGTGACTTGAGCGGCCACATAAACTTCCTATTCGAGGGATTTCTGCCTTGGGCAACGGATGGTAGCCTCTTCACATCGACCCTTACTGCCACACGATCATCGACAACGTGCGCTCATGGAGACGCACTCGCTGCAGTCGTCTCTCGCTTTGTATCCGATACAGAAGAAAGCCCATCTTTTATCCCTTCGGTCAACTTTGCCGTCTCCGAAGTTGGAGTAGACAACCGAAATGGCCGTGCAGTCGTGCTTGGTATCGTTCGTTACGTTCTGAACGCCGGCGGGAGGATGTTCCAACCAGCAATACTGTATCTCATGCATGGCCTCGTTAAAGGCCTGGAGACGCGACACGCGCGAGGTCCACCGCATCACAAACTGGAGATGTCGGAAATTACCGAGATCCTCAGCTTGTCACGCTTGCCTGGGCTGCCTGAGGTAGCAAGCGACTTACACAGCATTCACTGTCAAAGGCTCTGTGGTCTTCTTGATCCTGATCTACAGTCGAAAGGCGTACCAACTAGCGAAGTCCTGCGAGCCAAATGTCAAAAATTGGAAGATCCAGTGGATCAGTCTGCGCTTCAATCGACCTTTGGCACCAGAGATGGCGGGCTACCCACTTTTCGGTCTTTCATCAACGACCTCCGCGAATCGAAACATAGCTGCATACAAGGCTCAGCCTTCGCGCCCGCTTGCAAGAGCGTGATAGAGCTCCTAGATCGTACTGAACCAGCCGATATCGACCCAGACGACTTGCACACCGTGTTGGCAGCGTTGTGGGAAGAGGCTGAGATTCGCGACTTCATCAGACCATTTGCTATGCAACTACCTTCCCTACTATTCCATCCGAAATGCATATATGTCAGTGTTGAGGAGGGTTTGAATCACTTTCCTAATTGGTGCGACATTAATACTCTGCTCTCGAGAGCCATGAAACGACTTACGAAGCTATCCAAGGGACGGTCCTACATTCTTGCAGTACTTGCTCGATCGCTACGCAAAGCTGTGTTTGCACACCCAAGTGCAATCAGATCAACGCGGGGAGGCCTCCCCTTCGACGACTACATTATTGATTTCATCAATAATCCAGCATCCATCGGAACAGAGTTTTTGTTTGAGGTTGTCGCTGCCGACAAGCTTCAGCAATACTTGCCGCATCGAACATATGCATCCTACTACGGTATGCGAGAATGGCATGCATACGCAACTGTCATAGATATCCTACACCGTATCCCGAATGACCCATATATCTCATATGCAGAGACTGCTCAGAATATACTGGATGAGTTGGAATTACCCTGGGGGGATCAGAAACCACCAGTCGCAGTCAAATGTCCATGGAAGAACACTTTTCAACTGCAGGCAATGCTATTGATGAGTCACTACTGTGCCGATGACATAGTGGTGGAGAGTCATCTCGATTATTTCACTCGTGCCTTAGTGGTAGAATCATGGCCACGATACCGCTACCTGCTCGAATGGGCCATAGCTCGCATTTACCGTCGATTCCCGGAATTCACTCAGCGCATCTTGATAGAGCTAGGAAATCTGGAAGAGTATAGCCCGATTCATATCGCCAGTCTGATGAAGATTGGTCTTCTAGTCGCGCCATACGAAACTCAAGACTTTGCAGTAGAGTTCATCACACACCTGAACTCCTACTCTGCCAGCCCCAAAGTCCAGATCCGCCACGAAGCAAACTTTGCGTTTCCCATCGTGTTTGACATAGCTGTTGAGAAGGGCTGGAGGAGGATTACCGAGAATCCCGCTTTCAAAGGCATGAACGCTTTCATCCGCCGGCTGGACAAGTTCAACGCTTCTCCCTGGACGATAAGAACCCTGAAGGTCGATATTGAACAGGATTTTACCCTTACAGGCATCTTCCAAGGCCGATACCTGTCGATCGAGACACCAGAACCAGAGCTCGTCACACATGAAGACTTCGAGGCTCTCGAGCGTGATGATCAGTCAGATGGGTTCAACCCGCCACCTGCACGCATAGCACTTGGAAACAAGATCAAACCCAGCTTTGACGTCGTTACACCAGCTACAACTGCCCCGGTACCCACCACCACCACCACCACCACCACAGAACCGACCGGCCAAATCACCCTCCAAACCAAAGCCGGTATTGACCTCGACAACCTTCACCCACCTGGCGGCCCACCAAGCATGCAAAATGCCCGTCCCGCATCCGTCATGCTCGTTGCCTCTCTCATTGACAATCCGACAAACCTCGGTGGTCTCTCCCGCATATCCGAGTCTTTTGGTCTCGAAGCCCTTTACATTGACGACCTCAAGAAGGTTGCGCACAAAGACTTCAAGGCTACCAGTGTGCGATCGGAGAAACATCTTGCTATCAATGAGTTGAAGGAGGTTGGCATACCGGCGTTCTTACTCGATGCCAAGAGTAAGGGGTACGAGGTTGTGGGCATTGAGCAGACGGATCGCAGCGGCATATTAGGGACTGAGGATGGTAAGAATGATGTTGTGGATGAAGGGACGATTAGGAAAGAGGCCAGAAGTCAGGATATTGGTACACTACCCAAGAAGTGCTGTCTTGTGCTGGGTAGTGAGAAGGAAGGTATCTCCGCGGAGGTGCTGGCCGTCATCGATCGCAATGTCGAGATCAAGACTGTGGGAGTAACTAGGAGCTTGAGTAAGTTTCGATTATATTGTCCGATCAAGAACAACGCACTAACTTTGTCAACAGACGTTCAAACTGCGGGTGGTATCGCACTCTACGAGTGGTGGAGAGAATGGGGCAACAGCAAGGCTTGAGCTGTGAGAAAGGACTTTGTCTTCTTGTTCTAGAGACTGGTCAATCATGCAGCGCAATAGCCTGAATACACGCATACCCTTTTTCACACCTAATGAACTCCTACTATTCGTGCAATGCTTCGCGTCTGATCAATGACAGTCTGATTTGTATAGTCCGCATCCTCCTTGATTTGAGTCGCGGCCCATTTGGTTTCCTGGGGATGACGCGGGTCAGCGGTGCACGGATGCCAACATCACGACGCGGGGATGCGACGCGTCTTCGATCACGCTCCAACCACCCCATCCACTCCATCACCAAGCCATCCTGCGGCACCACCCGTCTCTACGTTAGGCCACGCGCAAGGAGATGCCAGGCTCGACTTCACCGCCATGAAGATCTCGTGCGAGCCAGATGTCGGCTGAGGCATGCTTTCCCCGCCAAGCGTCATGAAACGGCTATCAAACTCATCCTCACCCGCACGACTCGACAAGACCCCTACCTCGTTCTACGATCGCCCAGCTGAGCCCAGCCGTCACTCGTTCCTTAGGGCCTGTCGGTTTCAATTAAGCTCAATGTCACCCCGCTTAAGCCTCTACGAACAGGGCACAGAAGCTCGTACAAGCATTCAACCGCCGCAAGGTCGAACGCCAAGATGCATCTGTCACGATTGCTGAAACTGAGCTCCCCGTAATACCCGGGCTGGAAAGTAGAGATATAATGGCGACAAAGTCCACAGTAAGGCGACAATGAATGGAACCTGACTACCTACTCAAAATGCCCTTCATGCACTCAAAAGGTGCTACTACGCTTGGACACACGTTCAGGTAAGTACCGTCATTACATTCAGATTCACCAAGCTGAACGCTAACCAGAGGCAGAAACTTCGATCAGACGATCATCACAGTTAAAGTCGGCGGAAAAGACTACGCCGAGTCTTTCAGCTGCCACCGCGAACTCCTCCGACGATGCTCCCCATACTTCAACACATGCTTAGAAGAGAAGAGCAATTCGCCCTACGAGAAGTCGGGAACTACGCTAGACCTCGACGACACAACGCCTGACGTGTTTGACGCGTTCATGCTATGGTTATACACAGGCTTCATACCACACCATCTCATCGAGGGAGGGAAGGAGGTCCACCCTCCGACTCATGCAGTCAGTGTCAATGGCGGCGACAGCTCGAGCACCACCGGCCAGGAGGAGGGCGATGATGTGGATACTGCGTCTTGGGGCATTGCTCTAGAGACAGACGATACGGAAGCGGACGCCACGCCGGCCAACGCAGCAGCAGCGAGCAGCCCTGCACCGAGTGCGGAGAAAGTGCCTGGCGATGCCGAGCCCGAAAAGGCTGCCGTAGTACCGCCTCCACGAAACCCAGCTGAGAAGCCCGAGATACCCAAAGAGACGCTGTGCCCATGCTGCTCGAGGCCATACAAGTGGAGAGGGCTGGAAGGCTTCTTAGAGCGCCGGTTCATATCACTCTACGTCTTCGCACACCGCTACGCCATCCCGAAGCTACGTCGCGCTGTCATCCTAGCATGGCAAACGAACGACGAGATCCTGCAAGTCATGCCCGACCATAGCAACGTCATCGCCGCCTACGAGAGCCTACCACCTGACGCACCGCTGTGCCGCTACTTCCTCGATATGTACTCCGTGTACTGGAATCCCGACCGCGACGACGAGCGCACGATAGCTCTACGCAGCCAGCTTCCGCAAGCGTTCCTGTTCGAACTGGTAACAATGTTGGCGAGGGGAGAGAGACCAAAGATGGAGAAGGAATGGTGCGAGTTCCACGAGCACGAGAGCGAGGAGGAAAAGAAGGCTTGCTTGGATGACTTGGCCAAGGATCCTGTTGCGAGCAAAGCACTCCGGCGGATCAAGGATAGTAAGGGCTGGAAGGGGCTGGTGCTCAAGAAGGGGAAGAGATGAGACAATGACAACTAGTTGCATACGCATCATGGCATGGCGTTTTGGAGTCGCATAGCATTGGCATATCCCGGTTACACAATTAACAACATCTGTTCTCATCGCATTCACACACCTTCGCACGACCGACCAATCTCAACAAGATGTATCTCATCCTAAGCCGCTAATGTTCGTGTTACCGCTTCATCAGCAAGCTGAGGAATGCGGGGAAGCAACACGAGATCTCCTAACCGCGCCAGACATATCATCAGATGGTTGGAGAGGTCATGGATGATCGAGCGTCCCAACTGACCGGGGTAGGCATCTCGGTGAGCGAGTTGATGGAACCTTTCCGCTCATGCAAATGCGGCGCGTGTATAAAAGCGGGGTTTGGCGAGACCTCAACCATGAAGCCCGGAGACGATCGAGGAAATGCGGTGAGCTGCCTTTTGGAAACGAGCCGCACTCGTTTGAAGCTTCTCACGTCCTCTTCCTCGCGCTCACTGAGCTCATGTATATCTCGTTTTCGACTACCGGTGGCTGTACCTCCTGGTCGCATTTTGGACTCTCGTGTATGCTGATCCTTTTGTAGCGGAGATTCGTCGACTTGAATCACGGTGATCCTGCGGAACCGGAGTTGACAATTCGTGCATTCTATCTCAGCGTCGCTGGAATACGTCGATTTAGTCAAGCATCCTGGACAGGTAGTGCTACTGCTCTCGCTGGAATACGTCGATTTAGTCAAGCATCCTGGACAGGTAGTGCTACTGCTCTCGCTGGCATAGTCCTGACTGAAAATGAAGCTCATGTCAATTCGCTGACCAGGTATAAACGCAGCGTGCCATGGATGCGACAACTCGATCTCTCTTCCCGTACCGCTGGCTTGTAAGGCGTATTGCCTTCGTCCCATCTTGATCTGACCTGGCATATCCTGGAAACGCATTTCAAGGACAGCGTGGAAAGCATCCCAAGAGGTGATGAATTGCAAATGGACAGGCGCAATGCGACCCATGGGATCGTCCAGTATCATTGGCTCTTCGAACATGCTCCGCTCTAGGTGGCTAGGGAGTGAGTTCTGCAGACGCATGATAGCACGGTAAGTCGCAAAGTTAATCGTCATCGCGCCTCGTATCATGCCTTTGAGCTCAGAACCAAGCTTTCGGAGCCAATCTAATTTGAGTGCTTCGGACACATTGTCCAATATTGAGTTGGCAGCTTCGATATTGCGGTTAGCATTCTCAATGCCGTCTTTGATATCTACGAGTGATGCATCATGCGAGAGCGTGACCGTGTCGTTCCTGCGCTTTGCTTCGTCGAGCTTGTCATTCGTCTCCTTTCGACTAACTCCAATTAACGTGCTACACAGCATCAGCATCAGCTCTGACCAGGACAAATGTACTACTTACACATTGGCCGTGATCAACAACATCTGGAGGCTTGATGTAGTCCCCGCGATCTCTGCGCGAAATTGCTCCAGCGCTTCTTTCTCTCCGGTCCTCCAACCAATCGCTCTTCCAATCTCTCTGACCCTGTTCACTTTGCCGACTTCAAAAGCGCGCTGGTATCCCTGGATGCGCTTCTTGTAGGCGCTAACGCGGTCATTGCATCTAGCTACAGCTTGCTTTGCTGTTTCGCAGAGACTCCGTAACTCAGGCGTAGCTCCATCCCCATGCTGTCTAGTAAGCAGATCAATTTCGAGGAGTGTACGGTCGAGAGTCCAAAGCTCGCGTACGGCGCCCTGGTATTCTGCTTTGGAGCCGCGAGCCTCGTCAAGCGCTGCAACTAGATCTTTCACAAGCAAAACGACGGAAATGATATCGCCTACGGAACCGAAAGTAACTGGCATAGTAAAGAACAACGAAATCTTTGGCGAATATGATGATGGTGGTATGTTGAAAGTGTTGGAACTTCTTGAGAAATCGCACCCGACCCCGCCTGAGTGAGGCTGCACCAGATGGCTGAGTCGCTAAGCCTCCACGAGGTCCAACCAGTAACATGTCACACACACCACGCTACTTCATATCGCGACTGCCTGCAGATGCGGCACAGTTGCCAAGACCGCATCCTTCTAGTTCGACCTCACCTCACTCTGAGACGAGTAACCACTCTCAGTGTCCGACTTCTTCTCATCAGTACGCACCTTGAAGCGATCAGTCTTTTCATCAGCCCAGTGTGGGCGTGCATCGAACGCAAACTGCAGAATCTCCGGACGCTGGTAGTGGCCCGCCGCATCGATCCACACCTTTACCGACCCCATGTGCGAGAAGTCAATCTCGCCCTGCACCAACTTCTCCTCTCCGCCCGTGTGCGGACCAGCGATGTACGAACAGAACGGATGGAGGACAGAGGACCAGCCGCCGCCGGCCTTGACAAGGTCCTGCTTTCCAAGGTTCTCTTCCATCCAGTCGAGGCACTGTTGGTCGACATAGTTGGAAGCAGTGATGACGAAGACTTGGGCAGTGAGGGCATGGGCCTTCATCAACGCCTCGATCTGTGCATCGGCAACGGCTTCGAAGCCGGCCATGGTGGACAATGCCGGCCAAGCTCCCGCATGAATGTGCTGGTTCTGTGTGATAAGGGCCTGGCGTGCGCCGTTCATGGTATGCTCCCAACACGCGAGACCTCCGAGGTTGTACCCGAGCGACAATGGCCAGTTGCGCAATGTGCTGCCGTTGCCCTGAGCCCACACCATGCGCTCGACATAGGTTGGCTGGAGCTTCCGATGAACACCGAGTATAGTGCCGTCACTATCGATAATGACTTGGGTGTTAAACAGCGTATAGCCGTTGGCGACACGTTCGCAGACGCCCAGGTTGATGGCTACACCGGTCCTGCGACAGGCATCCTGGATGGCACTCACATCCTCTCCGTTCGGCTCCACCACGACGCTCTCTTCGGCGTATTTTGCCAAAGCAGCGACCTGCTTTAGGGGTGGGTAACATTCAATCCAGTACTGTGGTAATGTTAGCATGAGCCCCATCATACAAAGTTTGAGATTAACAGCCGATGCACGTACAGGATAGCCAGGAATGAAGGTCTCGGGAAACACCAAGAGCTTGATGTCGTCTTTCGCAGCCTGTTCGATGAGGCGGATAGTCTTCTTGATGGTGGCGGCTTTGTCCATGAAGACAGGCGCCGCGTGGGCGGCAGCCACCTTGAACTTGGTTTCCTTGGGCGCCATCGTGTTGCAGTACGATAATGGGTGTTCCTAATCGATGGACTGAGTCAAGACTGACAGGCTGTTGAAACTGCGGAGAAGATGACTGTCGTGGACCCAGATTTCTTTGTTAAGGTTGCTTGCTGCCCGCCAAGATCGCCGCCTCCGGCACAGTCACCGTACGGCAACCGCTGCGGCACGTCGTTATCTCCCGTGTCGTGTAAAGGTCCGATTGCTCAACTGCCAGCCATTCCCGCATCGCAAAACAATGCAACTCCACGCGAAGATCGTGTTTGTCACAGGCTAGTGCGCATCAGGTACCCGGCTAGTCACACCACGCGTTCTCGCAGCCACGAGAGCCAATACAGACGCGGCTAGCGTCGACTCCATTCCTCACCGAAACCGGCACTCCCCCCGAAAACACTGGCATTCACTCGTTGCACAATCGGCGCGATTACGATGGAAACTAATCCGAGTGGATATAGGGTTGCACGGCCTTATGGGTTCACTGCAATAAATGCATTTCGTGACACAGAAATCCGCCGAGTGAATGGGGGGTGCAAAACCCAAACGCCTGCACGGCGATAATACAGCTTGCTCCTCTGCGTGAAATCCCGTTGTGCGATTCTCTGACACTTCGCAACTCATCCTGCGTGATCCCGACGACAACCGGCTTTCGACATGGCGTTCGATTACTTTGCAAACCCTCCTCCCGGACTAGACTTGACCGAGTCCCGCACTGCCTCCAATAATGCTATCGGCGTTGTACTTTTCGTCCTTTCTCTCGTTTTCGTGGGCTTGCGCCTCTACACTCGCTTGCATGTAAAGCGTGAGCCGCTAGGTCTAGATGACTATCTTATGTTTCTCGGTTTGGCGCTGAATGCGGGCAACCTGGCATGCTGCATTGCAGGTAGAGCAATCAATCACGCGAGATCAACGATAGATGCTAACATCTAGGTTAGGCGGCTTCTATGGTCTTGGTAAGCACATATGGTCCTTAGGACCGTATGAGATGCGACAAATCACGATAGTACGTTGTGAAGTCCCCAACCACACGCGTGACGCAGCGCTGACTAGAGCAAGATCACATTCGCCTATGTCTTCATCTACGCATGGAGTGTATGCATCATCAAGTTTTCAATTCTGGCGCTATACCGCCGCATATTCGGCCTCTCATACTTTGGCTACTTCTGCGTCGCTCTCACTACAGGTTATCTCATCACCAACCACATCGTCCTGCCGCTCTACACGCGACCACTGCATTATTACTGGAACCAGTGGTACGGAGATAAAGGCGTGGTCCAGGTAGACGAGGCAAAGGTGAGACCACGACAAGACTGATCTGCAAACAGCGACTGATTAAAATGTAGTTTTATCTCGGTGTTGGCATCATCAACCTTTTCGGCGATGTGTGCATCCTTACGATACCCATAGCGAGCGTGCTCAAGTTACATATGGGCCGAACCCAGAAGGTTGCGGTCTGTCTCACATTCCTACTCGGTAGCTTGTATGTCGCAACCCAACCTCCGTCCCTTCGACGAAGTTTCGCTAACAAGTGCAGCGTCTGTTTTGCTTCGCTCTACCGCATCATCACCATTACCCACCTCGTCCAGTCGAAAGACATAAGCTGGGCAAAGAGCGACGTCTTCATCTGGTCTTCCGTAGAGCCCTCCATCGGTATCATATCCGGATGCCTCCCCACCCTGCGGCCGCTCATGATGCAGGTGATCAACGCACTCTCGACCCGCCTGCCATCCTCCTTCAAATCATCGCAGCATTCTCAATCATCCGGCCCTTCGCTAAACCCTCTGGAAACGATATCCAAAAAGCGCACGCGCAAGATCAACCTCAAGGATACGTTGGGAGACACAATTAACAATGACACTCGGAGCCAATGGGGCAAATCGCGATTGGATGAAGACGAAATGTGTCTCACGACAACGACTGTGCATGGGGAGTGCCCGGGTACTGCCTTGTGCAAAGAAGGCAGTGTGACTACGAGCGAGCTCTCGCAGAGTATGAGGAGAGAAAGAGGGATTACTATGACGAAAGAATTCGCATGGGATGAGGGGACGCATGACCAAAGCCCAGACAACAAGGTCTAGACATGTAGTAAAGCGACCGCGCATTTCTCTCGGCTTTTGACCGTATCCGCACCAGGTAAGGGAAGCAGGACTTGGACCAACGTGAAAATCCCACCGAAGCTTTGCTTAGGCAGTGTTAGACAACGAATCGACGCGATACCCCTCACGAAGCCATCCCACCATCCCACCATCGGCAAGGTCGGATACAGTCCGAGTAATGTTGCGTTACTAGAATGCGACGCGGTGCGGCCTCCGTGAGGCCGATACTACAGCCAACGGGTTGGGTAGAGCTCATCGCGACAGCCTGTCCTGGCCCACGCGTGTGCTCGACCTATCGCATGCGCTAGAGTGTCTGACGAGCTCGGAGTAGGTGGTGAGAGACGGGAACGGATTGGGAAGGAACGCGACGAATGCGACGGGACGGGACGCGTAGCTGCACGGGGAACATACTAGCGTGGCCGATCTATGAGCAAGCGCGACTGGGTAATACCCTAAACTCATGTAATGCATCATCCACATTGTCTCGATCTTAATGTCTAGCGAACCTGACGTGAATTATGATAGCTGACTTTGTTCAGTCTTCGAGATCTGTGCCTGCAGCCATAGTTCTGTCTCATGGCCGAATGTGGTATAGCGTTTTTGCACTCCCGTCGATCATCCCGGCGTTTTGCACGTTGCGGCCACACATCTTCCCGGCGGAGATAGCTATCGCACCACCACCACCTTGAAGAAGCGCCACAAGAAGCCTGCCTTTTCGTCCGAATTGAAAAATGGCAATGGTGCGCCAGGTATATAAGAAGCACTGCGCAACTGCAGAAACTGAGACGTCCATATCAACGCACCTCGCGACTAAAGCCTCAACATGCAAGGCTTCAAAGACTTCGACCCTGCAAAGGACATTCGAGACCTTTCCGGAAAAGTGATCTTGGTGACTGGAGGTGATTGAACTTGTTGCCCGTCGTTGACATTCTTCTGACAGTCATATTAGGCACCGCAGGATTAGGAGAGGAAAGTGTGCGAGCACTGGCGGCGCACAGTCCATTACACATCTACTTCACAGGCCGCAATGTCACTGCAGCTAATGCACTGATCGCCGACATCAAAGCCAAGCACCCGACGACATCTTTGAGCTTCATCAAGATAGATCTTTCGTCCCTTCGCGCAGTCAAAGAGGCCATCGCTCGAGACTTCAAACATGACCGCCTCGACATACTGATGAACAACGCCGGTATCATTGCCAACCCAGCAGTTTTGAGTACTGATGGTTACGAGATCCAATTCGCGACGAACCATCTCGGCCATGCGATGCTCACCAGAGAGCTGATGCCCATCTTGCTCAAGACAGCCAAAGAGCCCGGGGCAGACGTCCGTGTCGTCAGCAACACCTCCGCTGGTTACGAGTTCCATCGTGCCATCAAAGGTGGTATCTCCTTCGATGAGCTTGATGCTGGAAGCACGATGTCTCGAATGATGCTAGGCGCATGGATTCGTTACGGCCAGTCCAAACTCGCAAATATCCTCTTCGCAGCGGAGCTCGTACGTCGCCACCCCGAGCTGACGTCTGTAGCCATTCACCCTGGACTCGTCAAGACGCCCATGAATACCGAGATGGCGGGCTGGAGTAAGATGTTCGTCAACGTAACGTCGCGGATATCGGGCGAGAGGTGGCTTGAGCCACATGAGGGCGTTTCCAATCAGCTTTGGTGTGCGGCCGGAGCGGAGAAAGGAGCATTGCGGAGTGGAGGATATTACACGCCTGGGGGCGTTGACTCGACGGAGAAACTGACGGCGGAGGCTAGAGATGAAGACCTGGCGAGAAGGTTGTGGACGTGGACGGAGAATGTACTCCTAGGATATTGTCGTTGTGATTAAGTGCGTCAGTAGCTCTCTGGACGTGCGGAGCATGAATCCCTTCCCAGCGCCTGCTTAGTTCAGCCTTCCTGTCTCCATTGACAGTAATGATTTTCTTGTCAAAGCCTCCAGCCCACAGTTTGAAGCCCACGCCGTCCAGTTCCGACACTTTCATTTCTACTGAAGGTAGAAAGAAGGCCATTCGATAGGTGAGTAGTCTCAGGGCTAGATTCTGGTTGTTCATGACATCTTCTTGGCTCATCACAGGACGCATGTCCTGCTGTATAAATCTTGCCCTCCACCCAACCCAGTCCAACTGCACAGTACTGACGTGCGGGGCTCGCTCAGTTACATTTGGTGTAAGGAGGGTTCAAACCAAGTTTCCTAAATTGGTGACCAGGGCAACAGACATCAACCATGTATTCGAAGAGACTGAGAAAGCAAGTTTTTTCGAAAAGAATGTTGTGAAGCCGCTTCAAATAGAGATCCGGACTATCTCTGGTTTCGCGCACGTTTATGGAAATGGAATCGATCGGCTCTTTGCTTCGAGCTGGACAGCAGGTCCATGTGAGCCAGAGCTCTTTGTCGTTGACCATCATGAGGTCAAGAGAGTACGCCGTCGGCAGGCGGCGGAGACAGGTTTTGGTCTCGTGGTGCAGTTGTTTGTTCGTGAGGAGCAGTCCGTAAGTAGCATATTGCTCGGCAGGTGGCAAGACGGGTATGCGCAGGCAATTCGAGCCTACTGAGGCCTTGCGAGGGGTGTCATCTGATGCAGGGTGTCTTGGAAGCTCGACGTGCGCACTGATGACAAATTCGAGGATTATGTCGCGAAGTTCGCGCGGTAATGATAAAAGATGGCTAGACATGATGAGATGGACAGCGTGGAGGATAGGTATGAAGGCAGAAGAGTCGATCCCGGGGGCACGCGCGGGGACCTGAGCTAAGCGTAGGCGCTAAGCTACATCGATCCAAGCCTCGGCAAGACCCCTGCAGCTACTGTTCGCAGTTGCTGTCTTTACTTACTTACTTTCGCTACATAATATAGTAGGTTATTAGTACTTTCTACTTAAAATTACTATTTTAAAGCTTTTAAAAAAACTACTAATAAAAAAAAGTTAAAAAGCTTTTAGTTTTTTAGTTAGTTTATTTACTTATAAGTAATACTAACTAATACTATAGTTTTTTAAATTTTAAATTTACTAAAAATAGTAAAGTAAAAATAAAAAGTATATATATATATAGTAAAAGTATTATTTTACTTACTATAAATTATAGTATTTATTACTTTATAATTTTTTAACTCTAAATAAATATTAGTATTTATAAAATAGTTACTTTACTAGCTTAAGTTTTAAAAGCTTTAACTATATTAATAATAGTAATACTAAAAATTAAAATATTAGTTTACTTAAAAAGAATTTACTTTTTATAATTTTTTTATTAATACTAGTAATAAACTTTTTATTTTTAAACTAGCTTAAACTATAAAATTAGTTTACTAATAAGAATACTATAGTATATAGTAAGTATAGCTAAGTATCTAAAAATAAAGTTTACTAAAATATATTTTAATTAATAAGTATTTACTTATATAACTACTATATTCTAAATAAAACTAAGCCTTAGTTAATAATGTTGTTAACAGAAAATTTGTTTATTACGCTTGTTAAGGCCGTCGAGCTGATGTCTTTTACTCTCATCGTTTATCTCGACGCTACTCATCAATCCGCTTGATCCTGTCTCAGCCATTGCTCTATTACAAGGGTTCCGTGTACTTACAGCTCTGCGGTAGCCGACAGCCGACAGTCTCGACTGCGCGCTCACCCCTAGCGACCAGCTGCCGCCGTGACCTGACAGCGTACGCCATTATGTCTCGTCTGGAAGCGCTTCCGCAGCACGTCCTTCGCGACATCCTCCGCTACCTGCTACTTTCCGATTGCGTTCGCGGCCCACCGAACCGCTATCTCATCGAAGACTATGACTTCCAGGTCGCCGTCCTTCGCACTAGTAAGGCCATCAATCAGGAAGCTGCCAAGGTCTTCTATGGAGACAACAAGTGGATCAAACTTCACAATGGCTACGGCACGACGATCGAAGACGCCCTTCTCAACCATGAAGTACCCTACTTCAAGTTAGGGACGAAGAAGTTTGACAACCACGTTGCCGAAGTCAAGGTTGATCCTAACTACCAGCGGAAGGCGACCGGGAAGTATGGTAAAAAGACGACAGTGGGAGTACTGCTGTTGCAAGACATGCCAAAGCTTGCTCGCGCTCTGCGTATCCTGGACTTCGCCAACTTTATGGGCTATGACTTCAAGTTCGCACTGCACAAGCCGCCTGGTACTGTCAGCACTCTGGGCAGGGAGGATCAGGAGAGGTTTGCCCTACCCATGGGAAAAGGTAAGCTTCGCCTTTGCGAGTCATATGTGAGTAATCTACTAATTCTACCCGTTCTATCCTACAGTCAGTGGATTAGCTTTCCGACAGAAGGTCACCTTCACCACTGGGTTCGATGCTGCCCTTGTCGAGAAAGTCACGCAAACCATGACACAGGGAGTCGCATGGCTACGAGCCGTCGCTGTCGAACTCTACGAACTCGCCCTTTCCATCAAATGCGTGGGTGACATGGCGTTCAACACCGGAAACGGCGACATGGCATTCGCGAGGTGGCTTGACACCTTCATGTTCATCAAGCATTCATTGGAGAGGAACGAGATGATAGGTGCACGTCTCGAACCAAACTTCCTGTCACCGATCTATGCGTTACAGTGCGTCGCCTCGCTTGACAAATCTATGCTCATGTTCTCGAACATGGCCGCTGGCGAATTCCGTGGCGAGTTCCGACACGAGTGTAAGGGTGAAACAAAGAAGGTTGGCAATGCAAAGGAGGCAGAGCTTTGCAATAAGATCTCGGGATACGAGGTAGTCCCTGCTTCTGCTATCGCTCGCTTCTATCGCTTCTTGGGTGTCGCCGAGCTTGGCGAAGATCATCCTGTCAAAGCAGCGAAAGCTTTCGCCAAGTCCTACAAGATCATGTCTCTTACGGGAACCAAGGACGGCTACGACATCGCGAAGTCATGGAAAGAACTAACGAAGGCTGAGCAAAAGTTAAGCGTGGTCTCTCTTCATACCGCTCTCCCCAAGAGGCCGCATACAATGCCGGAGTTACAAGTCTGGAAGGGACCTCAAGTCGCGTCAGAGCACTGGGTCATGCGCGAGCTGGGCTTTGAAGGTGAGATTCCTTACGCTGACAAGATTATCGGTGTATTCGGACTGTACCCAGCCAAGAACCCGCACCCCAATCGTTCGCTTCCAGGACCACGAACACTGCGACTTGGAGCCGTGAAGCCAGAAGTACTGAGGAAGGCGGTCGAAGATGCTCGCGAGCGAGTGAACATTCCCGGTATACCAGGCATTGAGCTGGTCATGAAGTGGATTGCACTTGGAACGAATCAGATCGGCGAGGAGAGTATCCAGGATGATCCGCAGACTGCAAGGATGCGGGAGGAGATGTCTCTTCTTGGTAATGGAGGCTGTTCAACCCAGTGAAGGACAGTTCAATTCCTTGTGTGGTTCTATCTACATGTGCAGTCGAGGTGAAGGGGATCTGGGATACTCTAGTGAAAGAGGCTGTTATTGTTGATGCATGAGCTGTTGTATCTATAGACGCACTCTCATTCACTTCCACTATAGCATGTCCTAGGTAATAGATATCAAATGATGTCTTCAAGTCTGAACAACACCCTCCTACCTCCCCAAACCACTTACCTACTACCACCATCCCTACTGCTATCATGACATATACATCCTCGAAGCGTGGAGCAGACAATGAGCCGGCCTCATCACCACCAGCCAAGCGATCGCGCAGCGAGACGCTGACATCACCTCCAGCATCCTCGCCGCGGCCCTCGTCACCAAGGCGAAGGACTCTCCGCCCAGCTATCCGCGAACCCTCTACCTCCCCAACACCCTCCGTGTCCGCCTCGCTGGCCGAGGCAACCGCCACCTCAGAGACAGACCCCCTCCTCCACCGCATACGATCCGGTATCACCTACACCCTCTCCACCACCACCCCAGCGCAAACAACGCGCTTCACCATCCCAACCGCCACCAGCAAGCCCACTACGCTCGCCGCCCTAAACCTTCTCCGCACCCACGCCACACTCATAGCCTCATCACCCTTCTTCGAAATCTACGAGTTAGGCATCCCAAGACCGGATTGGGTGAAGCAAGGGGGTTGGCTGGGCATTCACGATCCGCAGTGGTGGGTGGGGAGGAGTGGGGCGGAGGTGAAAGCGGGGCCTTGGGCGGATGAGCTTGAGGTTAGGAGGGTTGAGGGGAGGATGAGGGGGGTGGAGAAGGGGAGGGTGAAGAGAGGGAGGAAGGGGATGGGGAAGGGTGAGAGGGAGAGGGATGGGAAGTTGAGGGAGGGGTTGAGGAGGCAGAGGGAGGGGGTGGGTATGTGTGATTAGAGATGGATAAAGTATTGATGCAGGATGACGTATGGGAAAATGGGTTGGAAAGATCACACGAGAAGAGCATTTCAAGATCGAACTTCAAAGGACACATGACATGAGAGAAAGACATTTCAAAGTCAAGAATTAGAGAAGACATATCACATATAAGAAGAGCATCGTTAGTTCAAGATTAAGAAGTAGTTTATGCTATAGTATAAACTACAGAGGTATCATTCTCCAGCCAGGCATCTATCCATTCCGTGTCTTTAGTAATATGCTATACTGTACTGCATAGCTAGAACCAAACATTACATCATTCAAAGTGACTCATTCGTGTCATCAAGACGTGAATAAAGCACTACACCATTAACCATCTAGTGGACGGAAGCAGTGCGGTGGTTCTTCTCAGTGTCAACGACAATGGAACCGTTGCGCTCGATCATGGTAGAGCCACCCTTCTGGAGGGAGCTCTCAACGAAGGTGTGGGTAGGGCGCCACTTGGCGGAGGTCCTGGGAGTGGTCTCGGCCATCATCTGGTCGACCTGCTCGAGAGACAGACCCTTGGTCTCGGGAACCAAGAAGTAGGTGTAGATGAAGGCGATGGTGCAGAGACCTCCCCAGATGAAGAAGACGGAGGACTTGAGGTTACCCTGGTCGGTACCGACCATGTAGGGGGTGATGACGGCGATGATGGTGTTCCAGAGCCAGTTGGAGGCGGTGGAGAGGGCAACACCACGCGAGCGGATGGGCAGAGGGAAGACCTCACCGATGAGGACCCAGGCACCAGGACCCCAGGTGGTAGCGAAGAAGAAGATGAAGATGGCGATGAACGCGATCTGGGCGTTGACGGCGGAGATGTTGTTGGCGCGGGTGGTGCCATCGGCGAGGGTGGTGGAGTTGTTGAATCCCTGAGTGACACCGATGATGGCAACCAAGAACTGGCAGATCAACATACCGAGAGCACCGAAGAGGAGGAGTGTGCGGCGACCGAACTTCTCCATTCCGTAGAAGGAAAGAGGGGTGGAGCAGACGTTGACCAGGGTGAAGACGAGCGAGATCAAGAAGGTGTTGCTGATGGCGCCAGTCGACTCCAAGAAGGGAGTGGAGTAGTAGAAGATGAAGTTGACACCAGTCCACTGTTGCATCATCTGGAGCGAGGTACCGAGGATAGTCTTGCGGAGGTTGGAGTTGGACTGGAAGAGAGAACCCTTGAAGCAGTTGGCCCAGCCAGAGATCCAGCCACCGGCGGGGATAAGCTCGCGCTCGTACTCCTCGTTGGCAATGATCTCAGCAAGCTCGAATTCGACCATGGACCTGAGCTCGGCAGCCTGGGGGTCGGTGGGGTGGACACCACGGATCTTCATCAGAGCCTTCTTGGCCTCATCGGGACGGCCGCGCTTGACGAAGTAACGAGGAGAGTCGGGAAGGCAGGCAATACCACCACCGAGGATAAGACCCCAGGCGAACTGGATACCAATGGGGATGCGGTACTCGCCAGTGTCACCACGACCCTGGACGCCGTAGTTGACACAGGCGGCAAGCAGGAGACCAATGGTAATGCAGAACTGGTAACCGGAGACGAGCGCACCACGGACCTTCTTGGGGCAGATCTCGGACATGTAGAGAATGACAATGGCAGACTCGAAACCGACACCAATACCGGCGATGGCACGACCAGCGACAAGGAGGTCACGGCCAGAGGCAGCCATTTGCAGAACAACTCCTAAGTGGGGGTTAGTGGCTTGTTTCATAAAGTAGTGCAAGCGGGGGAGTTCGTACCGATGATGTAGATGAGACATCCCAGAACAATGGTCCACTTGCGACCAATCATATCGGAAAGATCACCAGCGACGAGAGCACCGAAGAAAGTACCAGCGGAGAGAATAGAGACGATGAGCGAGGTGTTGCCAGAGCTGATCTTGCAGAGGCCATCGGGAGTGTTGAGACCCTGGGGGCAGATGGGGCCCTCGACCTCCTCGATGAAGAGAGGCGAGTTGAGCACACCGTTGATGTATCCGGAATCGTAACCTGAGTATGCGGTCAGCCACTGTCATTGTGGAGATTGTGCTTCGTTGTTGTCTTACCGAAGAAGATACCACCAAAGGAGGCGAAGGCGCAGAGGAGGTAGGCCTTCCAAGTGACAGGGCACTCAGTCATGTTGACATCAGTGGTAGCTTGGATGCCCTTGGGGTTGGCGGCCTCGTCGGCCAAGTCGTTGTTGTGGCTCATGATGGGCAAGTGCGTGGGGGTTGTACGCTGAGGGAGTTGACGAAGCGCGTTGCTTGAAGCTGTGCAGGGTAGAACTCGCACGCGGCCTTGGACGAAGAATCGGAAACTGAGATGCGGGTGAGTTGAGGGTTAATAAACAGAGCTGGAGATTTGAGATCTAGTGCAGTGCGGAACAAGTGTACCGCAGAAATGGCTAGGTAACATTGCGGCGCGACTAGGAGGGGCCCGTGCTTCCCTGCTATTGGGTGCATTAGCCTGGAACCCAGTGAAGGGTGCGCGCCACCAGCTCTCTGGGGAATGGTCGCCCGCGTTTTGCCTGCTCCAGCTTCTTCTCCAGGCCCGACTGGCCCGACTAACCTGGTAATTTGACAAGTGTCGGACCGGCATTTGCACCGGCTGTGATTTGACCTTAGCAGGTGGAGCACAGACGATGCTTTTACCTGTCTAGAACGCTTCTAGGTTTTCAGAGCCGCACGTGAGGTGCTCCCCGACCAAGGGTTCCCACTTCACTAGACTCCACCATCGTGGCCCATGGAGTCTCTCGTGGCCCATGGAGTCGGCTAACGTGTGTCTGGAGCAGGCTGGTAACGGCGCTAGCCCCCAATACCAGGTGCGCGGCGCCCTACACTCGGCTCCCTCCGCCTTCTACGCCTGCTTTCCTTCATCACGATGATGCGCTGACGATGCGCCAATGGCATGGCCTGTGCTATGCTTTTCACCACTGCAGGCGTCTTTCCCCAGACAACACCATGTGGCTGAACGCTAATGCAACGGCGGTCAAGATGAATGTGAACTGCTGACGCTTGTCCGCCATGGACGCCTAACGGCCAATACGCGACTTTGCTGGCCTTCGGAGCTCCTAATTAAGCGCGCAGTGTGGCACGAGTCACTCTCATTAGCCCAACACCACCAACCCCAGCCTCCGCTCCTGTCCCGACGCTGGAAACGTCCAACCGGGGCCGCCCTTGATTAGTGCATGTGGTCACGATGCACGGTCAGGATGCCTGACCCAGCGACCGCGAGAGATCCAAATCCAGTCCCTTCGCTGCGGGAGGAGAATGTGGTAGCGATGATGGCGAGAAGGCTGTCGCTACCGAGGTGGTTCGTTCACGTGGGTCGCTCGGTGTCAATCACGCGGAGGTCTCCCCATGGTTTCGATCCGACGGCCCACAACCCTGATTGGCCATGCCCTGCGCTAGTGGCTACCCCGACGAAGCTTGACGCGGAAAAGAATTCAGCCCCGACATAGCACGAATCGCCGAAGAGAAAATCTTCAGGCGCGGCATCTGAGCTCTGAGGTACATGACAAAGCGACATCGCGTACCCCGACATTCATCGTCCGCATGTTCTTCTCCACATTGTCGCCCAACGCACTGCTGCTGCTTCGCTACCATCTTTTCTCGCGTCCCCGCTGAGATGTCACCACCCCACAACTCGTACCGACTATGCAAACTTTGTGCGACAGTGGTGGCCTCAGCCGCAGCTCTCCTTGTGCAGGACTTCATTGTTACACGAGAAGCCTGTCAGACGCCGGGGTGCAATGCCTCAGTTCGTCACGATGCTCAGCTGTCATGTGCAAGGCGGCTCCTCCAGGCCTCGGGACGGGAACTGGTCTGAGGGTCTTGCAAGTCCTCCCTCCTCCAGTGTTCTGGTGGCATCTGTCAGGAGACTTGAGTTGGGTCTCTCAAGATGGTCAACATCGTTGGATTTGGCTCTGAACGCTTCAGGCGGCTCTTGTGGTGCCATGGTGTAGTACTATGTTTCCTAACAAGTCCTTGGGGCTCCGCGAGCGACTGCAGCACGTCTGCAAAACTGTGGGTATCGAAGACTGATCTTGTAGGAGTATTGGATGCTCATTTGCCT